AAGTCCTGTCACATTAAATCCAAGTAAGCAGCTGAAGGCCAGGACCCCCACATGAAAACGACTTCAAACGGATGTGCCAGTATACAACCATGTATCTTTGAAAAGCAGAAGTGGATCCTCCTGCACAACCAACAAGAATTCAGCAGGTCGTTACTGGATGGTACATCATGGCTGTTTTTTCCAGCAGCCATTGTACAGCACATACATACAAAACCAGCTGACCAAACATGCTGGAGATCAGCTTGGGTTGCTAGGTAACGGGCAGTGCCTGTGGTTTTGTATTTTTTAAAACGGTTCCTGTTCCAGTTACCAAAAAACTTATTGCCAGAAAACAGCAACAAGTTCATGCTTGGCTTGTTTTTAGAGGCGCCTTTAGACTCAAATAGAAGAACAAAAATGTGCAAAATGGGAGTTTTAAATAATAGGTTCCCTTCAAAAGAAAGTTTTATTTCAAGCAAGCATTTCAGAAAACCATGTTTATTTTTTTATTTTTGCAACTCAAAGCAAATTAGAGATCCCACACAGATTCTTAATTTAAGAGTTGGAATCAGAAGCAGCTGTTCTGAAACAAAACAAAACGGCAGGGGGAAGAAAAGGAACGTCGCACACGCTTGACAGGCAACACGGAAACGCTTCGTCAAAGCAGCTGACGGGTTTGAGGCTCCTTCTCTCTCATCCCCACTTTGAAAAAATAATAAAATAAAATAATATCTTCCCATGAGGGGAACATTTTAAAGTTGCATCTAAAACATGAGCTGCTCTGCTCATACATGCTGGACTGACCTTTACTAACCTGTCATTTTAGATCTGGATCAAGCTTTGAGCCCTAACCCCCCGACTAACACCCATCTGCTTCCAGAGTCCTGAAATCACACCTGTGAGCTATTTCAGAGCGCTGACGAACGCAGGACGCCCCTTATGACGGCTCAACTAACCACATTTATTCAGTTTAGCTTCTCTAGCAACCAAGTGGGCAATACGGCTGGAAAACGCATCACAATCTAAGTGATTCAATAATTATTGATTTATTTTAAATATCCAAAACGATATCCAACTAGTGACGTAACATTTCCTTCTATATCCAGTTTCCTCGTGAGCTGTTCTCGTTTTCCCTGATCTTTAGTATTTTGAAGCAGAAATGATTGTTGATTAGAGAAGCTGAAGCTTTTGTGTTAAAAACTGATCAGATATATTAACTGTATGAGTGAGAGAGAGAGAGCAGGAAGTAACCTGTGGTGCTCAGTTTGTTTGTTTGTGTGAATATCTATGTTATAACCTGTAGCTTGGAATTAGCTTATGCTATAATCTGGTACAGAGCAACAAACGGTGACATTTATGTTTGAGCTACTGCGTTTTTATAAAGTTTATCATCATCATTAGATGCTACGGCATGATTTAGATAAAATTTTTGCACTCGTAACATGTCAAATTTGGCTGAATAAAAATAATTCATCATAAAACTAACTTTTAAGTAACTTTTCAGATATAGGAGCTTGTTTTCAGTGAAAAATTTAATAAAATTAAAAAAAAATAGGTCCACTGGGAGATTATTTTAGTTATAATGAGACATTTTCCCATGTTGCAAGTGAAACAATCAGCCAGTGAAACGAGTAATTGTTCTTCAATATTAAAACTGAGCCACTTTTTGAAGTTTTCAAATAATCTCTAACATTGATGTAACACAAAGTGCAAGTTTAACAGGAAAGAGATAAACGTCCTCGTTTGAACCTATAATGTTTCCTGCCTGGTGTCTATCAGCCCATCTCATATTAACCATTGAGTTATCCTCCCCCGTGTGTGTGTGTTTCCTTACTGTGGACACTGAAGAGCTAAACACACCACCCTGCTTGTCATAACGGTCAGGAAGAGAGACCCTGCGATGCATTCCCTGCCTCGGCGTGTGGCCTCGCTGTGGCCCCACTCGGCCCCCAGGGTTTTTTTTCCTGCAATTCTAATCAAAGCTAAAAAGGCTGCAGCCTTGGAGTCAGCAAGGAAGATATCAATCACGCTGCTCAAAACAAGCATGAGGCAAAGAGGGGCGGGAGAGAGTCTGGGAAAAGTTGCTGCTTCAGATCGACTCTCCGAACCGGAGCGCAGCGCGTTCTCTGTTCTCGGAAACCACGAGGTAATTCGAAGTCGCATTAACACATAATGGCTGTGTGCATGGATAAATCATTAAGCTGCCTGTGATGCTGCGCGGCCGTCACCACCAACAGCCATCAGCGGCAGCTCCTGACTCATTCTCCGCCTGCTTTTTTACCAGGTGGGAATGAATGAAGCCACTCTGAAATAGTGAGAGGCAGATCTGCAAACGCTGCCCAGTTCTGCAGCTGTCTAATCCTCCTGCTTGTATAGGGACTCAGACAGATAGAGACATATGCCCATGCATGCATGAGAACACAACAACATTCATATCTGGCCAAGCAGAAGGGCTGCTGGGCGAGCGGCTGGGTTTGTGTCTGAATATTAGCTTCTCCACAGCTGGAGGCTGCTGGACCCTCTCCACGCATCAGACATCCATCAAGGCGTCGGTTTGATCCCAGGGCGATCGCACCGCGAGCCTCCCCTTCCTGCCAGCAGGTCTGCCTGACGGCCGTCTGTCGCAGCCGGGGGACCCGAACACAAACACGTCACCAAAAAGTCCAGCCAAGAATACAAACCCAACGGAGCGCAAACCATGAATGCTTTCAAGCTTCTCACGGAAATACGGCTGATCTGATGTTAACGTCGCAAATGTTTTCACTCCCCTTGATCCATCATTCAGTTTTGGTCTGGCAAAACCAAAACTGGCAGGCTTCAGTTATAACAGAAATCGGACTCGGACCTGCACCTTCAGAGACACAAAAAGACAGTTACAAAGTCGGCCTTCTCACCTGAAGAACGTTTCCAGGTTTAAAGTGCTAAAGTCTCAGTGAGATGTAGACAGTATGATGTTGTCATAATGTAAAGTAGTAAGAATTGTCTTGTTCAAGTTGACGTTTGAAGAGCTGCAGAGATCAACAGCTCAGGTGGGATGGTCCGTTACCATGACAACAACTGGTTGTGCATTTCACCAATCTATAGTTTACAGAAAAGTGACAAGAAAGTCATTGATGAAAGAATCTTAGAGAAAATAGAGATTGGCAGCGCCGTGGTATAGGGATGTTTCTAATGTTTTTTAAGAAAAATTATGATTTTTCTTCAATTTTTTTTCAAATTTCTATTTTCAAGCCATTGTGCAGAACATCTTCATAACTCCTCCTGCTGTTCGCTGATTGGCTCCGTTGAAATTCTACCGAAGAAATTGAGCTCAATGGGGGAAATCCCAGACGAGAATCCAGCAGGAAGGCGATAGCCACGCTTGTTGCAGGAATATTTTTGCTTCTCAGCCATTTTTAAACAATCAAAGGAAGCAGTTAATCATATAGATTTGAGTTATTAGTTACCCTGTAGCCCAGGGTGAGTAATTGCTATAATAGTCGGTCCCGTTTTATGTGAGCCCCCCATCCCATCCTCAAACCTATTTTCCACCGGAGACTTTGGTCATTTCCATGGCTGTTCTCCATAACAGCCTCTCTAATGCCGAGGAGGACAGGCAGGGTAATTAATTCCCCCTGCTGTCTCTTTCTCTTCCCGTCTCCTCCTCTCCATGGTGAAAGGAGAAATCGGGGAATGTAATTTACACTAATTACCTTTTTGCATAGGAGTCTCATTTCAACTTTCCTTTTCATGTCAAAGCACCAGCAGAGGTTTGCCTCGAAGCTTCGACACCCCTAATGAAAAATCACTAGAAAATTACTGCGGGGACAAAACACCACTGAAGAAAGAGTCCCAACCTCTGCTTTCTATAGCTCCATTTCACATACCATAAATATACCTACAAGGATTCACTTTCAGTCGTGAATCTTCATTCTGTTGGGACGATTTAACGTGTATTAAAGAACTGCTGCTGAGTTCCTCTCTTTCCTAATGGTATTCATGAATAGGGAAGGTCGGGCTTCCCTTTAACACCAGCAGAGGGACTATAGAGTAAACACAAATTAAACACGAGCCTGCTCCAAAATAAATATGGGAAGCATCAAGCCTCATTATTTGCATGTACTACTCTTCAGTTTGCATCAGCGCGTAGAACTCAGTTTCCTCATACAATCAATATTTTCTGCCAAGAGAGCATCGATAAAGACTTCTGAACAGAAAGCTGAAACTACATGAAACACTGTACAGACTTTGGAATGTGCACATTATATCCTGTTTGTTCATGCAGTTTCATGTCTTGCAGCTGGACTCATTCATGCACGAAACAATCTGCACCGCATTGCTTTAATTATCACCCACTTTTTACAAAATACATCATTCATATCGAAACAGATGCTGCGTAAATGTGTGATTTTGCCCGAACGCATAAAAAATCTCCCCCATGACAGCATCTAATTCAGCGACTCAAACGCATTAGTTCCAGCCGCGATGCTGCAGCCATATCGACACCTTCCGTTAGACATTCACTTTAAACAAATAGACACATGCATCCATGAAACATTGCATCCTAAAAAAACGAGAAAAGTCGTGCAGATTTTTTGCATTTGTTGGGATATAATGTAATGCAGGAGTAAGGCTGGGACTGAAAACAGACGCGACCGGGACCGATCGGCTCCGACCCGCTCTCCTTCCCTTAAAGCTGGGATAAAATTCCCACCAGGACGCAACATGAGGACCGAACATCGTTTCTCACAGACAGTTTGTTGTATTTTTTTGCTTGTTCTGGGTGATTTGGTGCCTCATCAGCGCGATTTGACCACAATGTGACTGAGCAGCAGCCAGGCTCCCTTCAGCTCTAAGGACCTGAACTGTTTGCTTTCATCAGCCTATCTGGGTTCGGTTTAGAAAATATGATGAATGATGAGATGCTTTAGCAGAATTGTGTGATTTTTTTTCTCCCTGAGCTGCATTTCGTTTGTCCCTACCGACGGGCTCCAGCCGCACAGAATGAAAGCAGCACATCTCCACTGGGGAAAAACCCTTACCTTCGTATACAGGGGCCATCGGTGCAAGGATTCCTGTTATTCATGGCAAAGAATAAAGCGAGCTTTCTGATCAAAACTCAATAAAAATCTGCCATCTTGAAACACTGATGAGAGGGTCGCCGCGGTCTCCTGCATCACTGGCCCGGTTCATTAGTGGACAAAATGCTCATAATTCATATCCAGGCCGGTTTAAAAAAAAAAAAAGAAAGAAAGAAGGAAAAAAATAAAAAGCAGGGGTCCGATGCGAGGAAAGGGCCAAGGAGCGACCGGGCTGCGCGTCCGGAGATCCTCACCTGCGGCGTAATTTGGCCCGAATGGAGAGCCGCGATGACAGCTTTACTTCAGCTATTGTGCGACATGTCTGTGGAGTGAGGAGTCTCTGCAAAAGTTGCAGCAGTGATCCGAGCGCAGCGAGTTTGGTGGGCAGGGAGAGAGTCGAATGTCGAGCGCATCGATGCAGGCGGAGGGAGGCATCACCATCCGAGCCTCAAATGGGACATGAAATAGAAAAAACACAAAACAGTATGAAAATTACCTGCTTTATATTGAAAGATTAATGTTAGAATAAAAATGTATTAATCAAAGCTCATGTATGGTTTAATTCTTCTTAGTTATTAATTATAATTCACAATAAACGTAATCTCAAGGTTTTCTACAAGAAAAATAACAAATTATGAAGAAATGCGTAATTAAACCAATACAAACTGCCACATAACAGAGACAGGTTCAATCCAAATACTTAAAAGTTCAACTCAAATTTAAGTGTAATAATACTTTTAAAGGCGCTCCTGTAGCAGTCTGTGTTACGTTCAATTTGAAGAAGCCTTTGACTGAAGACATGTTCAGGGTTTACATAATATCATCTTATAATAAAATGATGTCAAATTCAGGTTTGAATCACATCGGTGCTATTTAATCTTAGTAAAACACAGGGACAATATTTTAAATAATCCATTAAATTAAACAAAAACAACAAGAGGCAACAAAAATAGAAGCAATCTGTTATCTAACAGTCATTTAAATTCTGCTATTTTTAGCTACACCTTCAGTTACCTGAGCGGTTTTGTCACAAATGTGATACATTTTTACATCACAACAGGTCAGTAAATCTGCCGGCTGTAACGCCGTCCCGGTGTTTTAATGTTATTTGTTCATGGTGCAAAGTGGCTGTGATCGATGACTCTGTGTGCGTTTGGTCGCGCCTGCGCAGAGGCTGGAGCGCTCCTCTGTATGACGACACGAGATTTACACAGAATGGACTGGAATCGGATTACATGGGCTCACACAAATGTGAGTAATCTGTCATTTAGCAGCCATCCTGCTCTCACCGAGCTCTAAATGAAACATGTCAGCTCGACTCGTTAGCAGCACAGCGGCTTCGGCCCTCATGACGAACCGGGCCACACATTTCAGCTTGCAGGCTCCTCATGTCTGCAAGACGAACTGAACAGAAACTCATCAAATACTTCACTGCATCCCAGAAACACAGCACAAACTTTGCACTTATTCTATTCCATTTTATGCAGATCATAGAGCTTTTCTAAAACACAACAATGTAATTAATGTCCAGGGTCAAAATTTTTTATTCTAGTTTTGTTTTTAATTATGGTGTTTTAAACACATGAAACGAAGCTTCAAAATGAATAGACGGTAATAAAAACCCATGAAAACAAACTGTGCCCAGCTTTTCTACTGAATTTATAGTCATAATAAAAGACTTCAATTTGTTTTCAGCATAAGATCATTTTATATTTTCAGTTTAAATCTTTCAGTTTGTGTTGGATTAATTTCTGAAATAGGCTATTCAACATTTCTGACACATTTTCAGTAAAACTGGCCTCATAATGACATGTTTTCTGCACAAATAGTGTCTTTTGACTTTCATGTTTTGATTTGATCTGTTTTCTTCCTTTAGAAAAAAACGAGTAAATGTATTAATAAGTTGCATTTTAATAACTTGACAAAAAAAAGGAATAAATCAGTGATTATTGAGAAGTGAGTCAAATGGGTTTAAATTTTTCCTAATTTTTTTAATTATTCTTCAAGCTTTTGCAAACAAATATGACAATGTTTTGAAAATGTAAAGATGCTAAGGTGCAGGCTCCCAGTGACATTTAACATTATCATCTTAGTATTTCTTTATTTGTTTTAAACTATTATAATGTATTGAGTTCTGCTCCAGAACAAGGGATTTTAAAGACACCATCCACCTACTGCAAAGTTTAAAATAAAAAATATTCAGCAAACACCAGGAAAATATACATTGTTTTGCTCACATGGCCCAATTTAGTTTAGTCAAATATGTGAAAAAAAATATTTTATTCAGATGTTGTGCTTTGTCCATAGGACTTCTCAAGAATCACTGAAACTCTGAATAAAAACAAACACAGGCCATGTTTGTAGTTGGCCAAGCAGAGTAGCGCCCCCTGTGCACGGAGTTCATATTTATTTATTATAATAGGGGTTTGAAGCCTTTTGCATTAAATGACATGACAGGAGGAAATGGAAAATCACAAACAGTCGATAGTGTCTTTTTAAAAACCGCTTGTTTGGAGATAATTAATGTGAGCATGCTGTATTACAGACAGCCACTGTATTGCGAAACTATGAAAGTCTAAGCTGAAGCCGGATGTAACCCTGCACATTGCACTTCCCAACAGGCTAATAGTTCGATTTCATCTTTCAGTTCCTGTTATGTGCTTTATGTGACACTGGTAACTTTAATATCTCTGACTCTTCTAATATATTTTACATATTTAAGTTGCCGAAGTGGCGCCGTTTCTCCCAATATTTCTTGTCAGAATATTTTTCTGAGATCCTCTAAATGTCGGGAGGTTTCACTCAAACCCAGTCTAGGGTGTTAAAAATGCACAGTTTGTGTTTAGAAATATCTGCAATTGGATAAATAATGAGCCAATGTGGTGATATATTCATGTTGGTAAGGAGGCATTTTGGAGATAAAATTAATCTACAGAAATTGGCGGCATGCACAAGTTTTACTGTCCTGCTTTGATACGAAACTGATGATTCCAAAGTGTTTTACAGGTCCTGGATTTTCCTTGATGACAGAAGGAAAATCTGATCCAACCACTGATGGGAATTTTGGACACATTTACATAGTGACCATATTAGACTGTGATGAAGGGTGACAGAAAAGTAGAGTCATCAGCTTTGGTTTTAGTAGTTGATGATCTCATTTAGGGGAAGATCATGAAGCCTGAAAGAGTCTTGAGATATCCCATGTGTGATCTTTGGTTTTTAGATTTATAGTTACCATGCGATAAAATTTAGTCTCACTAAAGCAAATAAGATCCAACCTTAGCAACGTACCAGCAAATCTCAATCAATCATTCAAGGTAATAAAATGTCCCTGGATGAGAACAATAACACCAAAAACCAGAGCTGACGTTCACTGAATATTTTCCATCTTTGACAATTCACACACCTGATCATTTGTTCCAGACACGCAGACATTTTCAGCTTCACGCATGAAGTTCATGGAGGCAACATCAGGAAAGGCCTGTGGTCCGCTTGTTTGGCCCGGACTAAAAGCAGACCTACGTTTGGTCCTGTTTGCTTTCACATTATGTTTTATGGCAGATTATAAGTTGTAAACAAAGCTACAGGGCTGACTATTATTGCTCCCATAATCCCCCTGGAGAGATTAACTGAGAGAACAATTCAGGTCCATGCAGACCAGAAAGAAAGAAGTGTTTTTATAACACTGCAGGTGAAACTTTCAAAATTTAGCTGCAACGTTTGAATTTGGTTGTTTATTTGAAGTTAGTGGCTCAACAGTCAGCGGTTTTTGTCACTTTGTATTCATCTACTTGATGTGTGATGGCACAATGTGGATTCAATGTTCAGCTTGTTGAATGAAAACTAAATAAAAATTGATCATGTATTATTATCATTTTAAAAATTGCCAGGTAGAAGTTGATTATGATGAGATTTTTTGGACCTTGTCACTCAAAGCAAACAAAAAAAGTTTAGCACAAGTTTTGGGGAAACTAATAAAAATGAACTTTATTGGATTTGTTTTCAAATTTGGATCCCTGTGTTTTATACTCAGGTTTCCACAGAAACAGGTGTGTGAACAGTATTTATAGTAGCCAGTGCTGAAGCAGAACCTGTTCGGTTACATGGTTTTAATTCATGTTTGGTAACCACTGAGGTGTGAGAATGCTTCCTGTAGGCCAGGATGATCTGGAAAAGGAAACTTAAATTTCTTATCCTTCACAGTTTTGGATCCATTTGATTTTCTTGCTTTCATTTGCATCATCTGTCATGGCCGCTCTCCATATTCCCTCCTTCACAATCTTTTTCATAAATCTCTGAGCTTATTGTAATTTTTTAGACTTAATTAGTGCCTGTATTCCGACTGTCATCTGTTCCTGATTAAATAGACGCCGAGTGTTTCAGACATGTGATAGTCCAGCTCAGGTTTAACTGCTGAGAGTTTGGATGCAGAAAGAATAGTCAATGAACAGCCTGTCGCTCTGAGACCTCAGTTACACATTAAAATTAACTTTCATGCCTCTTATGATCGGAATAAATCAGTAATGTCAGAAATATCTCAGTAAATGAAATAACAGCAGGTCCCAGTTCAGCTGCATATAATCTGATAAATCTGGTTAGAGATCTTTTTGTAAGAAATGAGTGTTGACGTTTCTTATTTTGCTCATTTGTGCTCACTGCTCTCTAAACTACTTTCACGTCAGGAGGCCGAATTATTCCTCTGCTCTTATTTCAATGGAAAATCCACTCAAAGCTCCTGACCTCTCACTTTCTGTTGAACAGTAAAATAGCAGAGCTTTTCCTGATTCAAACCGCCGTTCGCCTCAGTCCCACAGGTCCAATTACCTCACACACCATCGACTGGCACTTGTGCTCGCTTGTAAATGGAAATTAGTCTTTTTTAAAAAGCAGAAACATTTTCTGGTACCTGTTTTGAAAAAAAACTTTGTTTCCAAATCCATATTTTTCCACACGTCATGCATAAAATCTGGCCTGTTTGTAAATGATTTAGAGCAGGGAGAGTTGATTTGTCAGAAGCAGGAAAACTCAGAAAGCATAAGAATTTGATTAAGTTCAGGGCTGAAATAATCAGATCGATCGTTAACTAACTCAGTAATCGATTAATCCTTAACTGGAACACAGGCTCAAAAAACGGACGTTTACTGAAAGAACAACACACTCAGGAGTAATTAAGTCAAATCTGTACAAAAGCCAAATACACTTTGCACTTAAGATAAAAAAAACTCAACAGATGTAGTTTTAGCTTCACCTGGTTCAAATTCAGTTAGAAAAAAATCTCACATCAAGCATATTAATTGTTAAATCCATAAAATGATCAACAATTCATCCCTATGCTGTACAGTTTAACTGAAAAACCTTTACTAGTTGATGCCGCCCTTTAGGAGGAGCCGCCCTGGGCATCTGCCCACTTCGCCCATGTGAGAACCCGCTTCTGTCTGAGT